GAAATTTTTCTACATAAAGTAGTCCTGGTGAAGGGTGTTTTGGGAGGATTAAGAAGGGTGAGCTTATAAACGACCTGTTGCTAAAAACTGGAAGTTTCACAATACATATCTAAATGATGATGAGGATATTTAGAGTAAAGAAAGCAACGCTCAATATCATATATAAATAATGAAAACAATATTGGGCCAAGGTCTGTACCCTTTGGTACACCTGACGGAACATCTGTAGGGGAAGATGAATAAATTATTAATTTTGCCATACTGTGATCTATTAAGTACATACGTATAATCCATCTTAATATTCCGAAATTTAACAAATATATTGGCTTTCTTTTTGCCTCTGAGTCAAAAATATTTAGTACCATAGAGATTAAATATGTTACGACCTTCAAAGAAGCCATATTGATGTTCACAAATAAAATTTTTGGTTTTAAAAAACAGAATCTTTGAAACTATAGCCACGAACAATTGGAAATAAGATGATAATTGACTACTATCTACTAATTTATTAATTAAATTCATAAATCATTGTAAAATTTTGTTTTAGTATAATTAAATAGAGTTTAGGAATGCTTACTTATGTGTATTGTAAATCCAAAATGAGATCACAAACGAAACAGTATTTTCCTGTTAACTTAGTTGAATGTAATCGCGTTTTCGTAAGTGTAATGTCTCCATGTTTACTCTTACATCATTACCTTTTAAAATAATGACATTAGAAAAATACAGGAAAAAACATTACGGCCTAAAGGTTTTACCGAATAGGATCATTACTACAGGCCCAATTTTCTGGTCTAAAGAGCCTACTTCTCCTGGGAAACCGCTGATTTTAGTAAAAGGAGAAGAGAAAGGAAAATGTATATACTATACTGTGTTTTGTTTAATTTATAACATTGAGCAAAAGATTAAGTAAACCAACAAAGAAAATTATAGTTTTTTACATAATATCCTATATAGAAAAATTACTTTTATTGCACGAGTTCAGTTTAAATGCATTATTAATTTTTAACAGTACGTACAATTATTCTAATTGATGATTTTGGGAGAAACAACTACTTGTTATTTTTTACAAGAATCTTGTCTATAAAATTGGATAACTTCTGCATACCTAGATTTTTGGTACCAAGGAACATTGACTTCATGGGATTGTTAGGAAAATTTTTGATTTTATTTAAATTAAAATAGAAATGCAGGAGCTAAAAATAAAATAATATGCTACGATTGCATCTATAGGTACATTTTTAATATATTTCTTTCTTATAATTACTCCTCAAATTGCGCCGCCTTCTGGAAATAAATTTCTCGCGATTTTTCTGAACTTTCCTAGTCAGAAAAAAGTTCCAATTATAAAACACTTACCCGCCCCCATCGTTGAGAGCGGGCGCTAGAACTAACAGGAAATTACACCGAGAGATTTATAATAGAACTATTTTTCTACTCGTCGCTCGCTTATCTAAATTATCGCACTTGAATTTCCTCCGTGGAGATATTGACTTCGGCCGAACCGGAAGCCGGTGCGATTCGAGATTCGAACTCTTCGATTTTAGTAAAATTAAGACGTAGCACGCCTTAGCGGCGCTTCATTTACTTTGAACAATGGAACTATTAAAACTTGAAGCAGTGACCATTTGTTTAATAATGAGATAATAATAAAAAAAGATTCAATGTATACCTGGAAATTGGCAAAAATTTACAGTTTTAAAAATATATTTGTATTTTTACTGTAAGAAGTATATATTTATTATAAAGCAGTGGTTCTGAACACCACTGTATATTTTAATACCTAGGTACTATTCTACTATTAATCTAAATAAACAGTGAAACTAATTTCCAATTACCTAGTAAATAATGAATCTCGCTCACGATATTGTTTTATCTCTTCTTGAAGCCCCTTTTTCAAAACGTAATGAAGTAGAAAAATAACAAATTTTGAATTTGATGTTCGCGAAAATTTCAATCTTCATGGTATGATAATTACACCGGCCAAAAAAAAGTTATGTGAACTTTACATACGGCATACGATTTCCTGTGTATTTTTGTCTCCTGAGCACGAATCCATACTCTGTTTCGCTCCATCACCCTTCAGTTTTCCGTAAATCGCTGAATACCTTCAGAAAATCGCTAAAAATCTTCAGTAAAATGAAGAAATTTAGGATGTGACGAGATCTTGACATGCGACACATGTTTTTCGACGTAATTTTCCATCCTGAATCCGATTCCGATGTCAGAATTACTTCATAACCGCCTAATCCTCAAAAAATCTCTGGAAATCCTTTAAAAAAGGCGAATTTTGAGAAGTGACGAGATCTTGACATGCGGCATATGTTTTCAGACGTATTGTCTCCAAAAAAACGATGAAGATCTGAAACATGGCAAATTTGTAGAGGTAACGAGATCTTCATATATGACTCATGATTTTCGATGTATTTTCGTCTTCTTCAATTAAATAATTGCCGCGATCAATACTTAAAAAGGAGCCTAAGCGCCTATCAATTGGTAAAGAAGAGATCAAGAGGAGAACAGTGGCAGCACCTCTGCGTCTGAAGGCTTGCTTGGCAACAAGAGGATGCCGAATAGAATACGTATGAAATGCTCTGAAGCATACCCTCAAAGCAGACTCGTGAACACAGACATTCCCGGATAGTGCATATAACCCAGATATTCAGGGTTTGATGGAGTAGTGGAACGCCGGAAAAATCAACGGCCATCCGAAAGAAGATACAAATGACTAATGTGCTAATCCTTACTCTTATTTTTATCCTTATTTACTTTCATACTTTGCTGAAGATTGGAGAGCAATGAATTATTAACAGGAGACAAAAATACATCGAAAACCATGAGTAACATATGAAGATTTCGTTACTTCTACAAATTTCCATTTTTTAGATCTTCATCGATTTTTTGAAGACTAGACGGTGATGAGCAAATCTGACATTGTATTCGGATTCAGAAGGTAACAATACGTCCGAAAACATATGCCGCCTGTCAAGATCTCGTCACTTCTCAAATTTCGCCCCTTTTCTGAAGATCCTCCGCGATTTTTTGAAGACTAGAGGGTTATGGAGTAATTCTGACAACGAATTCGAATCTAGGAGGTAAAATTACGTCGAAAAACATGTCACGTGTTAAGATCTCGACGCTTCCTAAATTTCTCCATTTTTCTGAAGATTTTTAGCGATTTCCTGAAGGTATTCAGCGATTTACGAAAAACTGAAGGGTGATGGAGCAAAACAGACTATGGATTCGTGCTCAGGAGGCAAAAATACACAGAAAAGCATATGCCGCATGTAAAGTTCACATAACTTTTTTTTTATTGGCCGGTGTTATCAATGGCTATGAGGAACGAAAAAAAAATTAAAAATAGTTTTAATTATGCGAAAAATATTACTGAACCAAGTAAAGGGGCAAAAGATGCAACGAATTAGAAATATTTTCCGTGTTGCCGGTTGTCATTTTATTCAGGATTTTTAAGAAAATTAAATGTTGATATATATATAATTGCATATTATCCTCTGCATACATATGCAGTCTTCCATATTTCACTGCATTTGGTAAATCAAAAATAGAAATCAAATTGGTCCCCAAATGCTACCTTGTGGTACACCACTTTTTATTGTGAACTCTTAATTCTTGATTTATTTTCACCTTCTGCAATCTATTTTGTAAATAACTACGAAAGCACAATATAGCATCCTGATCAAATCCAATGTATAATAACTTTTATAGTAAAAAGTCGGAAGATACTAAATCGAATGCTTTAATTTGATCTTATAAGATTAATATCATTGATTTATCAACTACCATAGATAGCTTTTTAACAAAGCAATATTAGTACTATAATTTTTGCGAAAGCCTAACATCATTGTTTGTATGTTTGATTTTTTTCTAAATAGTTTGTGACTTGTGCAGCTACAATTTCCTCAAAAACTTTTGAAAATGCTGGTAGTACAGGTATTGGTCTTAGTTCGTCATAAGTGCTACTAGAATTTCTAGCTTTGGGTATTGATATTATTTTTACACTTTCAGATATCTGGAAATATAGGTACCGGTAGTAGGCTATTGATTATGTCTTAAAAAGCAAGGTATTAATGAACTACAACGTTGATGGTTTTTATTGCACGAATCATTGAAATGGTTATTCATATAGAAAAAACCGCGGAGTGCTTAAATTAGAGGGTGAAAATTGGAAATAGGGATGAAATTGCACCCCTTTCGGTTTCTAATTGTAGCTCGAAAACGAAGCAAAATTTGAGGGTATTGCATAGGAAAAATTTTGTAGATAATTAGATTTTCTTTCGAAATAGCTTATTTAAAAAATTTGAAAAAAAGCAAAAAATTCGGGAATGGGAAATTCAATTCTCTAAATAATTTTTCCTAAGAACTATAGCGAAATTTTGCTTCGTTTTCGAGCTACAATTAGAAAACTGAAAGGGGTGCAATTTCATCCCTATCTCCAATTTCCACCCTCTAATTTAATAGCACTCCGCGGTTTTTTCATTCTAAATAACCATTTGAACGATTCGTGCAATAAAAACCCATCAACGTTGTAGTTCCATACCATATGACATAATCAATAGTCTTAAGTATTAAAAATGTTTCTAACAGTAGGTAACAGATTATAACATTAATCAATTTTATGTTAATTTCACCAAATTTCTTTTGTTATTGGTTGCAAAAAAATATGATCACCCAAAATATTTTGAGAAAAAGATTGTAACATATTCACATTAATATGGCATATAGTGTTTCCCAATAGTTTTAGGTTTATGGTTATTATTTTTATAACAATTTGCTCCGGATGAAAACCCAATACAGTTGAAGTAATTTAGAATCTGGTGTCTCTGGCTTGACAAATAAGAAATTAAATAATTTTTTTTATTTATTACTTTTATAACAATATACATACAAACATTATCAACAAAATTTTGGAACTAAAACAAGTAAAAACGAACTATTTTCTCACTTCCCACTACGTAACCTTATTTACAAACAATCATAGCCTAGTGGTAGTAGGCGGGGGCGGCATACGCCAGAGGGGCGGCGATTTTAGCCACTGGAGCGGCGTACGCTACGGGGGCGGCCACTTTAGCCACAGCAGGGACCCCCAGGGGTTGTCTAGACACCACAGCGTTGAACCCGTTGATAGGATCAGCGGTGTAGTCCACGGTACGAATGGTGCCATCAGGATCCACCAAAGAGTAACTTCCTTGGACACTGTCTCCGTTCCTGGTTTCACTCTGCTGCTTATTGTCACCGGTCAGACTGTCTTGGACCTGGTATGCGTAGGAGTACTGTGGATTGGGGTCGTATTCGTCGGCTACGACAGTTTTGGATACCGCTAAGGGAGCGGCGTAGGACACTGGCGCCTGCAGAATACCAGCGTTGGCGACGGCGGCCAGAGCGGCGATTACCAGGATTCCGTAAGACATTTTGTTGGTTGGTAGGTGGAACTGTTGACTGATGCTGAATGGGTGATCACCACGGTTTTTATACTGAATAAAATAACCGGATTCGTACCTAGAAATATCTGTGCGTGAGAGCTGAAGTGGAGCAAATTGTGAAACCGACGCGTTTTGTGTATATGCAGTTTTAACGGGTTTGGGTGGTTTGGAATGTTTCGACGGATTTGCATTTTTAGAGATTTCGGATTGATTTATAATGCTACATACTCATTTTAATGTTCTGGGACAGTCGAATCTAACCGCTGAATTATATCACGCCTATTTAATGATTTTAATACTAGAAAATAACTTCACTGAATATTGTTTTCTATATTATCTAAGTTGACTTTGCTGGAGCTTTAGAATGTTTATAAAAGATGTTTCTAAAATGCGCCAAAATGAAACGGAAGAACAAAACGTTCTTTAGGTAGGAATATTAATTCGAAAACGTATACTGTCCAAAATACATTTTTTTAATAACATCAAAATTGCTAATGAAGAGGTAAATTTGGTAGACTCTATATTATCAATTATAATAATCTCATGAGGGGCAGTATGTTCCTTATAAGCAGTACTAGGAATAAGTCGGAATACTTTGTGTGAAAAAATAACCATAACTTATAATTACGACAATTTTTCAGAAATTATCTTAAAACAGACAAAAGTATGGTCTTGATATCAAATATCTTCACAGGTTTTGAAAACAAAAAAAGTCTCAAAAAATAGTTATTTGTTTAACTAGGCAGTAAAGTACAAGAATAGACGAGACGTAGCCGAGTCTATTAAAGCAGCCAAGAATAAAATCTACTTTACTGAAAAGTTAAACAGATAATTTTTTCGCCGATCAATTTTACTTTTATCATAATAGCAAACAAAACTATATATTTTATGTTATTAAAACTGTATGATTCTTTGTTCGTAAAATATGCATTTATAACTCGTAATCGCTTCTTTCCCTAGGGAGGTAAGTTACCTGACTTACCTCCCGTTGTCCATAGCAACTTCCACTTCTACGGTAAAATCCACTTGCCTCATTAAAAACAATGTATTAACAGTAGTCTATTTACTATAGTGGGAGCAGATACAATTTTTTGTTGACCTACATTATTAAGATAACACATTCTGTTTGTTTAGTTTGAGGTCATATTTTAGAAACATCCTTATAATGACGAACTATACGAACATAAGTTCGTAAGTTCGTTCGTAAGTTAGTAAGTATAATCTCTTCAAAAATAATCATTTTTTATTCTAGGTCGCTTTAATATCAACACGTCTTCTAAGCTGTTTATTAATCTTGCCACTTATTGCTTTGTGTTTTTACAAAATTTGAATTTATTCTATGTGTAGAATTGTTACATACTTTCTCTCGTCGGGAGGTTATTAAATTGACGTTTCGCTTCGATTATGGCTTCAGTAGCAGAAAGCGCGTAGCTCTAATGTTAATAAAATATTTATTTCACTGTACAAACGCATCCAACAAGTAAGCCCTTCAGCTCCCCATAGTCGGCGCCCATGACTTATACCCTTGTTNAAAAATAACCATAACTTATAATTACGACAATTTTTCAGAAATTATCTTAAAACAGACAAAAGTATGGTCTTGATATCAAATATCTTCACAGGTTTTGAAAACAAAAAAAGTCTCAAAAAATAGTTATTTGTTTAACTAGGCAGTAAAGTACAAGAATAGATGAGGCGCAGCCGAGTCTATTAAAGCAGTCAAGACATTAAATCTACTTTACTGAAAAGTCAAACAGATAATTTTTTCACCGATCAATTTTACTTTTATCATAATAGCAAACAAAACCATATATTTTATGTTATTAAAACTGTATGATACTTCCTTCATAAATAATTTTTGCCATATCTGGGGCGTGTCAATGTGATGAATCACTTCAAATAAAAATTGGAGATATTGTATTATCAAGTGCTCTAAGCAAGTATTCACCAATTTGGAGGATTCAATAGTTCATAAAACATCTACTAGTGAAAACACTTCAACCCACATAGACGAAGTAAATGTTTCAAAACAAACAGGACAAGGGCAAGGGATATCCATTACAAGCAGTTCTAATTACATTCGTTAAAGAAAAAATTAAAATTTTTTATTTAGTGGCAGTAAAAATGATTCTAATGCCTAGGCAGTAAATGTGACACTTAGTGCCTGACAGCTGTCACTAAAACTACACTTTTAATGTCGATTACACTATAAAGGAGGTAAGTATTATTTATCAGTCGAGAACGATTTTGCGCCCGAGCGGAGCGAGGGCTGGCAATAGAGTCCGAGACTGGTAAATTATACTCAACTGCTGCGTGGTGTATAACATTTTATCTGCTCCCACAGTTCTTTATGGGTCATGAAATGAAGAATAGGTTTTATTTTTTGATATTTATTAATCAATTCATTTTGATATTATTCGAAATCTTGCAGTCGCATTGCTTGTTTGGATTTTATCGTTTCTAAGGTGTACATAAAAGTTGCAATTTTGCTGGTTTTGAATTATTAATTCTAAATTAGTGATTTTCACATGAGAAAGTGCTGCAAATGCTGCCTGCGAATTTTTATTGCCCGAGAAGTCAAAAGTGCGCTACAGATGAGCATAATAGAAATTTCAAAGAATGGTGTCCGAAAAAAAATACTAGTGTTTCTGAAATATCACTGCTAGCATATTTATGGAGAAGTCAAGAATTTTAAATTCACCGGCATTTTTGAAACGTAAGAATGACGGCTATACTCGTATACCTAAAAAGTCAAACGTTTTTATTAGACAAGTAAACGATTTCCTCGATCGGCCGTCCGATAACACATATTTGCTAATGAAGGTAGTGACGGTCTTAGGCATTCCATGCCGTTCTGATGAGTTATGGAAACTTACTTTGGACAACGTCAATTTCAAAAATTTCGGTGACATTATTGTAGTTACAATTCCAGATTCTAAAAATGATACGTCACGTACGTTTACAATTACTTCTCGTCTGGGTTCTGTTTCTCACCTAAAAATTCTCAAGAAATATATCAAGATTTGATTGTAAATTACTGAAATTTCACTCTTTTTTATGCACTATCAAGCAGGTAGATGTTACAACCAACCAGTAGGCAAGAACACCCTTTTTATAATTCCTAATAAGATTGCATTCATGTGTAGAATCGTTACATACTTTCTCTCGTCGGGAGGTTATTAAATTGACGTTTCGCTTCGATTATGGCTTCTGTAGCAGAAAGCGCGAAATGTTAATAAAATATTTATTTCACTGTACAAACGCATCCAACAAGTAAGCCCTTCAGCTCCCCATAGTCGGCGCCCATGACTTATACCCTTGTTCTCATAGTTTAATTCTAATCAACTCGCCTTTGGTTAAAATGGGTCTCCTGTTTCTGTATAAAAATATAACAATTGACAATCATCCAACACCGACTTGACTGTGGAATGTAACCAAGCATGTTCAACGTTTTTATCCAACGTTAATAAACGAATACATTGGATTCAGGACTACAGCAACATCAAAGGCTCTGCAGCTCCAGCTAATTTATCAGGATGTGTATCTCCTCAACGGGCCGGATTCCAGGGGGATTGCCCCCGCCCACCGCTGGGCACAGCGGCATTCATACCCTCTGACACCTGCCCGGCTTGATGGGCGCCCCCGTCAGGTCTATCTGTTTAAGTTTCCCGGCCAGGAGATATATACGGCGACGTAGGCATCCAAAATATTTCACTGTCTCGGGGCGGACCCGACATATGCTAAAACTTTTACCAGCCGCATCAAACTTTGCGCGGCCAGACTTGCTTGTTTCAGTTGTCGAGTTTAATGGAATTGTCAAAAATGATTTGTCTGGCTTCCGGTGCATACAGGGTTCATCTTTCGAGCATATTTGTACGCATATATTTCTGTCTGTGAAAATCTATTAAGCCTAATGGCCTTAAATAAAAAAAACACTCATATGACACGACAGAAACTCCAAAAATACAGATCCAATTGAGATTTAGTAAATTTATTACCAAACGATAATAGCGATTGGCATTTATAATACCAATGACGAAAGAAAGTCGCTTTTTTTTTTAATAAAATATCATGCACCTAAACCTAATCGTTTTCGAAATATCGACCTTCGACATTAACTTTTCACTACTCTCATCTTTATAAAAAAAAGAGGGGCCCCAAATTATGGTTATTTATTTTGAAAATGAAAAACCAACAATTTTATTAGTCAGGAATATGTAGAATTCAATTCTGCTTCGATTGATACAGATCAGCGGTCTTCAAACTTTTACGACGTGCGGAATCCCGCCCACCCACACCTAAAAAAAATTTTCGAACACATTTTTTACTGATTATTTAATATATTTATAAATATTACGATTGACAAAGTAATTTCACTAAGTAAAAATTAAAGTAAGACTTTAAAGTTAAAGTAAATATTTATTGAGTAATTAAAGAGAGAGTAAATATAATCAAAGACTGATGGGATGTGCTTGAATATTTTTACATACCTATTATGTTAAAATCAGGTGCTATTGTCGTAAGTTGCAAACGCATTTCAAATTCTGCATTAAGCGCATTGCTATATTTTGTTTTTGTCGCTACGTACGTGGAAAATGATTTTTCGCACAGTACGTAGTTGCAAAAGAGAAAGACCCGAAAAACCAGATCGAATCTTTGAATTTTTATCTATTTTGTTCGATATCTCAACAACTAACAATAATAGGTGAAAAGTTTGTAGGGCCTAAATTGTAGATCGTCGAAAGAGGAACAAAACACAACAAAACAACAATTCTGTATCTCAACGGGGAACCGAGTTATAGCAAAAACAAAAATTCACCCCTTTTTGCAAGATGGCGGAAAATGCACCTAGGAAATCTTAATCTCAAATTTCAAGTTAAGCTTTTCTAACCCCCCCCCCACAAAATTTGGCTTTCCCAGTTCACTTTCTTTTCCAAATATACAATTTCCTAACCTCAAAAAACAGGTCAAAAATTGCAAAAATTCAC